CTCGGCCGGGCGCGGTGGCTCACGCCTGTAATCCCTGCACTTTGGGAGGCCAAGGCGGGCGGATCACGAGGTCAGGAGATCGAGACCGTCCTGGCTAACACGGTGAAACCCCGTCTCTACTAAAATACAAAAAAATTAGCCGGGCGCGGTGGCGGGCGCCTGTAGTCCCAGCTACTCGGGAGGCTGAGGCAGGAGAATGGCGCGAACCCGGGAGGCGGAGCTTGCAGTGAGCCGAGATGGTGCCACTGCACTCCAGCCTGGGCGACAGAGTGAAGACTCCGCCTCAAAAAAAAAAAAAAAAAAATTTACATTCTGAAAATAAGTACAGTGTCTTAGCCCATTTGTGCTGCTATAACAGAATACTTGAGATTGAGTGATTTACAAAGAACAGGCAATTGTTTCTCACAGTTCTGGAGGCTGGGCAGTCCAAGGTCCTGGTGAGGGCTTTTATACTGCATTCTCATGTGGCAAAGGCAGGAGGGCTGGAATGAGAAAGTTAAAGGCTGCATGAAGCCTCTTTCCTAAGGGCCTTAATCCTTTCAAGAGTGAAGAGCTGTTATGCCCTAATTGCCTCTTAAAGGTCATCCCTTTTAATATTACCACGCTGGCAACATCTGAATTTTGAAGAGGACACATTCAAACTATAGCAACAAGTTTAATTTGGAAATAATTCTACTCAAAAAAAAAAAAGTTAGAATTGAGTAATAAGACCCTGTATATCCCCTCCCTGGATGCAACAACGGGGTACATTAAGTCCTATCCAGGGGGCAGTCTCTCTTACTCTCTCTACTCCATCTTAGAAAATCAGCAATAATTTTCTGTCCACTCCATAATCCCATTTCACCAATTGCCCAAAATACCTACAGTAGTTATTTAATTATGTTTCCTGACAGTAGAGCGAGCCTAAAGGTAGGTGCCAGGCAGAGGTATCTGTGGGGTGGCCCAGATCTGGAGGGTCACAGAGACACAGGCACCACACAGCAGAGACACTGAGGGCCAGGAGTTCACTTGGATGAGGGACTTCAGCAGATCTTTCTCTCCTGAGCAAATCAGGTACAAAGAAATCAAGTTCCTATCATCAGAATAGACAAACAAGGACTTTAATCTCCTCAGCTGAACCCCACTGTCCAGGTAAGAAGTCTCTGAGCCCAAGCCCAGGTGAGGGTGGGGTGAGAAGATGAGCCAGGACACAGATTTGCATGGAGGCCCCGCCCTCCTCTGAGGCAGAGGGGATAATAGAGGGCTGGGGCAGGCCCAGTGCTGGGTTCTCAGAAGGCAGCGCTCTGGGGACGTCTCCACCATGGCCTGGACTCTGCTTCTCCTCATCCTCCTCACTCAGGACACAGGTGACACCTCCAGGGAAGGGGCCTCAGGAACCTCTGGACTGATTCTTGGTCTTCTGCTCCTCAGGCTTACCTGGGCCCAGCACTGACTCACTACAGTGTGGTTTTTTTCCCCCTTTTTCCAGGATCCTAGGCTCAGGCTGCCCTGACTCAGCCTCGCTCAGTGTCCGGGTCTCCTGGACAGTCGATCACCATCTCCTGCACGGGAACCAGCAGTGACATTGGGTGTTATAACTATGTCTCCTGGTGCCATCTGCCCCCAGGCACATGATTTATGGTGTCAGTAAGCGGCCCTCAGGGGTCTCTGATCACTTCTCTGTCTCCAAGTCTGGCAACACGGCCTCCCTGACCATCTCTGGGCTCCAGGCTGAGGACGAGGCTGATTATTACTGCTGCTCATACACAAGCAGCAACATTTTCCACAGTGGACATGAGATTGATTCTCAGGCTTCAAGTCTGGCAAGCGAGCTTCTTTGAGACTCCCTGAGATCCCACCAGTGAGACTGATCATTATTTCTGTCCCACACATCCCAAGTGATGAGGAAGTAAGATCAAAACCCTCCTGAGATTCCTGACTTGCGTCCTGACACCAGGGCTGTTGGGATTCCTGTCATTCCTTCAAGAGTGTTCAAATAGGCAGTAACAATCACTTCCCTATGAGATACGAGAAGAGAATAATTCCATAGGAACCAAACCCATGAAGTCCACACTGAAGCCTGCCGAGTTCTCTGCAATCCAGTGCGACGGAGGGAGCATTTTCATGGGGACTTTTCAGAGTATGTGGAATGTCTGAGGAAACCACGCTCAGCCATGGGTTTCAGAGACAAAACTCTGGGAAATAAGCCCCAAAATCTCCTCAACCTGCAGCCTCTGTGGTCTGTTAGACTCAGCTATGCCTAGTAGAGATGGCCATGAGACACCTGTCCCCACCTGCTCAGGAGAGAGTGGAGCAGGCAACAGTGCAGAGAGAACCAGCAGGAGCCAGGCCAGGCCCTGCATCCAAAGCAGCCCCCACTCCCAACAGATTCTCAAGCTACAGCCCGGAGTACAGTCCCCACCTTCTGCAGGCTGAAGTGGGCTTCTCAGCATGGCCAAGCCATGACGGGGGATGGCAGTGTGTCCATGGGACACAGCCCTGCTGCCTGCCTGGCCCTCATGCCCCCTCCCTCCCCACCCTCATTAAACTCTGCCCCAAAGGGCCCGGGTTCATTACTCAGGGCACCTGGGTCAGGTCCTGTGCTAGCCACCACTGCTCTCTGTTCTCTGAGCCACTTAGTCTCTTTTGGCCTCAGTGTTACCTGCTGTGAAGTGAGGAAGCTTATACTGAACTGAGTAGCTCTTTTCTTAATTCAAAATTAAAAGATAGAAAAACAATGAAAGTCATGTGAATTCAAGCCTGATGAGGGGATATCATTTAATGGGCTTCAATAGGCTTCAGGCATAGAACTTCTTGTCTTTCCTCTGCAGGGATTCCAAGAAAGGGGCTCAAAAGAGCTTGTTTTCTGTATGGTGGGAGCAGCGGTCCCCAGCTGAGAATAAGCAGGAGAGTCCCAGTTGCATCAGGAAGACAGACTAGGCTAGTATAGAAATCTTCTCGGCACAAGCTCTGAGAAGTGTTGAATAAAATAAAGATAAACATAATTTCATGTTTTCATGGTGCCAACGACGGTGATGTTAGCTCACAACTAAGCTGCAGTGCCTGAAACATCAGGAGATCACAGTGAATCATAGCTGCTCTTACTGGGTGGGAGGTACACCAGTTTGCTTCATAAGTGCATAGGAAGCCTAGGTCCCTGTAGGATGGCACACGCGTCTCTCTGGACTTTGAAAGCTTTGCAGAAGAGCTTCAGTTGACTCACTCTAATTAGTCCTGACGGAACAAAACCACTAGAGGAGGGCATTTCAACCCTGAGACACTTCTATAGCCCCACCTCCCTGCACTGCATGTGTGACCTCTCTGTGCTGGGCTGGGCAGGGCAGATCCAGTCACCCTGCACAGAATGGGGCTGGACTCTCTGGTCCTCAAATTCTGAAGTGACAGGTGTTGTGGGGTCACCTGGAAGAAAAAAGCTCCTGGATTGAGTTTCCTCCACCAGCTGGGGGCAGCAGAGCTGCAGCCAGGAGCAGTCAGGAGAGAGGCTGGGGCTGCCCAGCTGGGGCAAAGAGGAAGGCCGGCCTGGGGTTCAACAGGTGTCCAAGAATCGGTCTTCAGATTGAAAGCGAGGGCAGCTCATCCTATCCCCTCAGGTGGCAGTGACCATGCTCTGAGGGTCAGACTCATACAGTGTCACCCAAGGACACCGACAGAAGCCTGGCACAGTAAAAGGCACACCCGGGAAATGAAGCTGGAGGAGGCTGGGCCCAGGTGTCAGCGTGGTCAGCTTCCTCAGGAAGGGGATTCCCTGGGAGACGTCCAGAGGTCGAATTGGTCTAGGAGGGGGCACAGTGTGAGGTGACAGGGCTCCCAGATCCCGAGCCCTTCACCCAGGAATACCGTCTGAGTCTCCTGCCACTCTCAGGGCTTTGTCCCTCCCTGTCCAGCAGCATCCTGGGGAGCTAAGCCCTCTGTCCTGGGCACTTCCAGACACACCCGACCCCTGCTCTCTCTGCCTGTCCTTCAAGCTCCAGGCTGACTCTGACTCAGGGGGCAGCTCCTGTGCTCAGGTGAGTCTCAGGTGGATGGGGTGAAGCATTTGGGATCCTGATCCCTTCATGGGGCATCCCCAGCGTCCTTAAGGAGACACTCTTCAGAAGGACAGGGCTTCTCACTTGCCTCAGCTCTGACCACGGGGCTGTCCCTGCTCAGTGACAGGACACTGACCAGGGATCTGACTGAAGTGGCCAGGAGCCTGGCTGGAGTAACCAGGGACCACCCACCTTCTGGAGCTCACGTGCTGTGCAGAGAATATGACCCTGGGACCCCTGCAGAGACCATGGGGCCTAAAGTTAGATTATCAGTCCAGCGTAGTTTTCTCCTGCTTTTTGCAAGTTTACATAAAACATTGATGAGAAAAACATACATCAATAACAGACGAGCTGAGGGTGCCAATTGCTAATCTCTTGTGGCAATGAGGGGTGATATAGAAGGAGCAGCACCATGGCTGAAATGAGACCAGAGGCCCTGTTGACTCCACCGGGGTGTGTGGTTGCTTAAATGACCCAACTATTCCTACTGAAGTAATTAGCAAGTGTCCTGATGACACAGCACAGCATTTAGATGGAATGAACAAGAGGGGACTGAGTCTGAGGGACCAGCAGGAGGAAGATGATGGGTCCCTGGTCCACCTGCTGCTGAGTCAAGTGTCATCATGATCTCTCAGCAGAGCCCAGCTCAGCCCCATGGCCAACCTCCTGGAAGGTCCACAGCTCTGCTGAACCTGGTCCAGGACAGACCCCAGGTCAGCGAGGTTTGGGACAGTGGTCATGAGATCAATTCCCAGAAAGGTGACTGTGATCACAGGGCTTGAAGGCTGCAGCTGATTTTCTAATCTGAGACCCTGCTTCTTCCTCCTATCGCCTGTGCTGCCCCTGCAGCTGGTTTGAGTGACATTTGTCCAGGAGGAGTCACAGAGGATGTAAATTTGCATAAGCACCAAACACTGACTGCCCCCAAAAGCTGGAGAGGGAATAAGAGCGGCCTGGGAAGCCCAGCTGTGCTGTGGGATCAGGAGGCAGAGCTCTGAACATCTCACCATGGCCTGGATCCCTCTCCTGCTCCCCCTCCTCGCTCTCTGCACAGGTGCTGCGCCTAGGTTCAGTCCCCACAGACCCCAAGTTGGGCCTGACCTGAATCCTGAGCAAAGCCCCACCACTGCTGCTAGGGGGGATTCCTGGCAATGGGTCCTTTGTCTTCAAACCCCCTCTCTTGTTCTTCCTTGCAGGCTCTGTGGCTTCCTATGAGCTGACACAGCCACCCTCGGTTTCAGTGTCCCCGGGACAGACGGCCAGGATCACCTGCTCTGGAGATGCATTGCCAAAAAATTATGCTTATTGGTACCAGCAGAAGCCAGGCCAGGCGCCTGTGCTGGTGATTTATAAAGACAGTGAGCGGCCCTCAGGGATTCCTGAACGTTTCTCTGGCTCCAGCTCAGGGACCACAGTCACCCTGACCGTCAGCGGGGCCCAGGCTGAGGATGAGGCTGACTATTACTGTTACTCTGGGGATGGCAACAGTCTCACAGTGACACAGGCAGATGGGGAAATGAGACACAAACCCCTTGCCATCTGTGTCACTTTCTTTCTCCAGCCCCAGGAGGACTGTGGACAAAGCCACGAACAAGTCTGGCCCAGTTCACCTCGATCTGAGATTCTGAGGCCTCCCTTCCAGATCTCCACGTAGGCCCTCCGGAAGGTGGGTTGAGAATAAATTTGGGCCTGGCAGGTCCAGTCAGTCCTGGTGTTTTCTGGGCTGGAGTGCAACTTTGGGAAAAATGACTTGAATGGAAGTACAGTCAGAAGGAGACATCTGCTGAGTGGTGATGGTCCCAGTATTTCCTCGCGTGGTGACTGAATCTAAGGCAGTGACCCTACTCTGTGGCCCAAATGCCATGGGTTATTCCTCTGAGCTCCCCGTGTTTTATTGAGATGCTCCAACCCCCGCTCTCATGGTATCCTGGTCTGAAGAATGATGGCCACTGCGGTGGGCACTCTGTGTCCGTCTAGATGCCCTTTTCAGGGCTCATGCCTCCAGCATCCGAACAAGGCTGTGCGGGAGACTGTGACTTGTCACAGCTGTTCCCCACTGGAAAATGCCATTGAGGGCAGAGAACTGCTCTCCCAATGATGTGCCTCCTTCACAGTGTGGTTCAGGTGCAACGCCTGCCTGGTCTCTAGATTTTAATGCCATGTTTTAATTTAAAATAACTTCAAAGTGTCTCCTGCTGAGCTCTCCAGTGTAACACATTCCCAGTCATACCTCTCACACTTTTCTTTCTGACAAAATTTTTTGAAACCCTTCTGCAATCCTCTCAGAGTAGGATTCCAGGGAATTCACAAATGAACAAACAAACCAAAAACTGTCTAGAAGAAAGAGGATCCAAGAGGAGAGAACTGCACAGGGGTGCACTCTGGAGTCTGCAGATATTCATGAGCACCGATGAGCGCATGCGTGGGAGGAAAACTTCTATGATAGAGAAAATAACCATTCAAAGATTCAAAGACATATGAGGGAACACTCCATAGAGCTCACACACACACCCATCTGCACACACACACACACACACACACACACACAATGAGAATAGTGCCTGTTCCTCCACTCCATGAAGAAAGACCTGAGTTAAAGGGTGTGAGGTTGACCAGTGAGAAGAGCTTTGCCTCAGCACTGGGGAAAACGTTGCCCTAGACAAAAGGCATCTCTGGTGTCAACTAAGAAAGTGTAAGGCCCCTGTGCTGATGCCTATGTCAAAGACCATCACATGTATTTTAACCAACTAGCCTAGAGTTGTCACCAAGAGTTTGATCTTACAAATAATCCTGCAATGAACATCCCTATTCAGACTCCTTGGGGTTCACTTCTGAAGATTACCATAGAATAAATCTCTAGGCATTGTAAATCTCCAATTTACAATGGCATCCTCAATTTACAATGTAAATCTCCAATTTACAGCCATAAAACTTTGATGTGAGCATGCTGTTCAAAGTTTGGGTTTTTGCCAACATGGTGGATTAAAATTTTGTTATCTTGTTACAGCGTTATTTTGGATTTCTCCTATTCTGCTTGAGGTTGAACATTTTCTCAAACATTTCGGTGCTCTTTATTTTTTAGGATTTAGTAAACTTTCTTCTTAAGTGGCCAGGTAGAGAGGATTTTAGCCCCTGTGGGCCAAGAGTCAACTTTGACCATATTATGAAGGAACTTATAACTCCAGTTACCATGTAACCTTTTAAAGCTATAAAAAACACTCTCAGCTCTGGAACCACACAAAACAGGTGACACGCCAGGAGTGGCCGCAGGATGCGGTTTAATGGTCCCTGGTTTGTAGGGTCATTTGAAGTTTAAAAATTTCGCCAGCATATATTTTAGGTGGAGATCTGTTTGTGGGTAACACTATATTTCACCTTCTATAGTGGCCTGAGGTTTCTCTCTAGATAAGAACACACTTTTATCATTTTTTGGATGGATTTTGGGTCTATCCGTGATAGCCCTGTGTCATAAACTCCTAACTTTTGTGTCCGTCCTTTTACTGTGATTCTTGGGAGTGTGACAGTATATCAGGAATATACTCCCCAAGGTGGAAAATCAGAGAGAGGGAGTGGCAAGTGGGCAAAGAAGCTTGTACCAAAGCTGGAATATCCAGTGCAGGCTCAGAGAAAAGGGTCCTAATATCAGCATTTGACTGAAGCCAAAACCACAAAAGAACACAGGGATTCTGGGGGTGATAAACAAAAATATAGTTTAAGTTTTAATGTATTCGTTCTTTTTATAATCCACAAAAATTCTAAAACTCGGAATTTAACAATGGGATAAGGAAGAGAGCTTGAGATGTTAAACTATAAAGACCCCAAGGCAAGTTGCCAGGAAAAGAACAGGACCTTTTTGGTGGAACTATGTTTATGCTGCAAATTACCCTTTTCTATATGTCTATATATATATTTAGGTATAAGGGACCATCTCATGCAACATCCTTCTTCACTAGTCAAAGATCACCCTCACCCAAGGAGGGAACCTAAAGGGAATGTAAATATGAAACACAAAACATAATACACTTTTGTATAACCATTAAGAGAGTCTCTATTTGCATATCAAAATGTGGATGCCTATTGTTAACATTGGAAATAGTAGGTTAATATGCATATGAGATGAATTTTCTTTTGACTATTTCTGTCTGTGATTTATCTTTCTTAATAGGGACATTCTCTGCCCTTAGAACAATTAAACTTGTGATGTTTTTTGTTCTATTATCTGTATCAGCTCTGTTTTTTTTCAAACGGTGGCAAAGATATCCCATGGCTAATGATTAATAAATTCAGTTAAGGGTATTTAAACTATTTCAAGAGCGGACAGTTGTGATTTCCCCACATCTAACTCACAGATGTTGCTGATGCTGACTCGCTCTTCTCTTCTAATCTTAGCAAATAAAGTGGGAGCATTGACTTTTCTGAAAACCCAGATGACAGCAGAAGAGAGGAAGTGAAACCCCTCAAAGCTGTTTTCCTTTAAACCCTCAGGATGAATCACCCTGGAGAATTCCTCACATTTGAGTTGGATGATATCTAAATGAGAGTTTGGTCTTAGAGTTGGGGCTGAGTTAGTTCAGGATTTGGGCTGTTGGGATGGGGTGAATGTGCTTTACAAGTGAAAAATGCACGAGTGTTTGGGTCCGTAGGTTGGAGAGTTCCTGGCTGCTTTATGTGCCCCTGAATTCATACAATGAAGCTCTTAGGCACAGTGTGTGAGTTAATTTGGAGAGTCTTTAGAGGTGATTAAGTGAAAATGAGGTCATGAGGGAGGGTTCTTATTCAATCTGACTGGTGTTCTTCTGAGAAGAGAAAATTTGCACACACAGAAATGAGACACCAGAGATGACTGTGTAGAGGAAAGAGCATGTGAGGACACAGCAAGGAGGTAGCGACCTGCAAGCCAAGGAGAGAAGCCTTAGGGGAATCCAAACCTATAAACCCTTTCATCTTGACTCCCCAGCTTCAGAACTGTGAGAAAATAAGTGTCTCCTCTTTAGGCCAGCAGGCCTTTGGTATCTCATTAAGGTAGCACTAGCAAATGAAAACAAAAGGACCCCGAAGACCTTGGATGTGGGAGAAGGAGGAGACGGAGCAGGGTGCAGGAGGCAGGGCAGGGAGGGGCTGGAAGTTCAGGCTCTGAGGTACATCTCCTGGGTGGAATCCTGACTCCACTCACTGCTCTCTGGGGACTTGGGGAAAAACAATTAACCTCCCAATAGTAAATCCCAAACAAAGATCGGGCCTTGAGCATAGGGTTCCTCATCCTCTTATTCCCTATGATGCAAGTCTTATTGAAGTCACGCTTGTAAAACACTCAGCAATGTATCTGGCATACACTATGGTCTCATAAGTGGTTGTTCTGAATTTTCTAGTGATGTGTAGAGGATGGCATTGGTCCTGTGGGCAGAGGGGGCACTGTGGACCTTGGTTTGAGGACTCTGAAAAACACCAAGTCCCCTGGTAGCGCGTAAGTGCGAAGAGCCTCACAGATGCTTCCTCACAGGCCCCTTCTATTGGGTAAAATTTACTCTCCACTCCTGACACCCATCTGGTCCTTCTTCTGACTTTAGTAAATTGCCAGTATGAAAGGCTAAGGCTCAAGGCTCAGATGAGAGCTAGGATAGGCACACTGGGGAATGAGGAGTAGATTTGCATCCTCTGCTCATCAGGGAGCCCACCCAACAAAGACACAAGAATAAAAGAAGTAGATTTGCATGAAGAGCCTCTCTTTCCTATGATAAGAGAGGCCTGAAGGTCCCTCCCCAGCCGTGGGCTCAGAGACAGAACTCTGGACCATCTCCGCCATGGCCTGAACCACTCCCCTGCTCACCCTCCCCATTGTCTGTGCTGCCTCCCAGGGCTCAGCGCCCACAGGACCAGAGATCAGCCTGGCCCTGAACTTCAGCTCAGCACAAGGAGTGATGCAGAGTGTGGGGCTCTGGGAATGACCCTCATCCTCATAATTACATCTCCTGTCCTCTCTTGTAGGCTCTGTGGCCTCCTCTAAGCTGACTCAGGAGTCAGCAGCATCTGTGACCCTGGGACAGTCAGCCACGGTAACCTGCCAGGGAGACAACCTAAGAAGCCATAGTACAAGCTGGCACCAGGAGACGCCAGGCCAGGCTCCTGTGTGGGTCATACATGGAAACAACAACCAGCCCTCAGGGATCCCAGATCAATTCTCTGGCTCCAACTCAGGAACACAGCCATCCTGACCATCACCGGGGCTTAGGCTGAACATGAAGGTGACTATTACTGTCACTCATGGGAAAGCAGTGCTACTCATCTCACAATGGGACAGATAGATTGGGAAGTGAGATCTAAAGACCTTTGCTGTCTGTGTCACCCTCTTTCTCCAGGCCTAGCAGGACTGTGGAGGCAGCCATGAGCAGGGCGGGCCTCCTGGGTCACTTGGATTGAAGCCCTGGAGGATTTTTTTTTTTTTTTTAATTTAAGACCCTGAATATCACATTGAAGTCCCTCCTAGCATAGGACTCAATTGTAAAACATTCCCAGTCACGCTCCCCACACTTCTTTCCTGAGAATATATCCTGACACCCTACTGCATGCAATCCTCCCTCTCAGAGTAGGATTCCAGGGAACTCAAAAATTAAAAACAAACAAACAAACAAACAAAAAAGTCAGTCTAGAGGGAAGTGTATTGAAGAGGAGAGAGTTGCACAAGGAGAAAACTCTGAAGCTGCAAATATTCATGCACTGATGAGCACTTATGTGTAAAGAAACTCCCTCTGAAAGAGAAAGACACTTGAGGGAACACTCCATATAAAACACATACACACACACACACACACACACACACACACACTCACTCCAGTCACAGAGGAAAGGCCTGAGTTACGGGGCATGAGGTGGACTCGTCAGAAGAGCTTCAGCTCAGTATTGGAGAAAATGTCACCCAGACATAGGGCTACTCTGCTTTCAACTAAGAAAGTGTAGAAGCAAACTGAGAAAAGTCAAGACAGTTTCCAAGTAACTTTACTGAATCCAAAAATAAAAGACAAAAATAGAGAAGAAAATGCAAAAGAATTATAAACTCAGCAAGGAAAAATTCCCAATGATTGGCATTCTATCAATATTTCCTGCAAGAAAAAGAGAAAATGTGTGCTCTAAAACAGTGAAAAACGAATCAATCCAAAGTGGCAATAAAACTGCACACATGATAGACCTTGTAGGCAAGAATTTTAAAGCAGTTCTTATAACTCTTTTCTCCTTGCTCATGAGAATAGAGGATTGATTGAATGTGTTAAGTGGAGAAATGGAAGGCATAAAGAAAGATCCAAGTTAAACTTTTGGAACTGGACCTTCTTTCTTTCTGCTGGACAGCGGAGAAAACTGCCTCCTCCAGGTTTATGCCCCTTCTTAGTAAGGTTTGGTTTCATAACTGCCTGAGGTGAAGATCTCAAGCCTCCCTTTCAATGTAGGAGAATCTGAAAATCCTCCAGTTCCACAGCTCCCTATAGGGATGGCAGAAGCCTCAATGTGGGTCAGGGTGTCCTTGCACCCAGTGTTGCCTCCCTCACTTAGTTTCACACCTGCTGTGAAAGCAAATCTCCATCTCAGAGTCTGCTTCCAGGCATCCCAAAATAACACAACAAGTCATCCCCAGCGTGAGCCATCAGGAACCTGAGGAGGCCACAGTATACCAGAAAGCACCAGTTTATTCCTAATGATCATTGTGAGTCTGCAAATGCCCAGTGAGATCTGAGTGTTTCTTGCATTTGTATGGAATGAAAAGGGCCTTGGCATGCCAGGTGCTCTGGGATCAGAGGGAGAGGTGGAGTCAGATCCTCCTCCAAGAATCTGGGGACAGGAGGAGCAGCCTCACCCCAAGCAGGGACCACAGATGCACCCACAGGGGGAGCTGCAGGATGGATGTTGCCCACCTACACCCTCCACATCCTGTGAAAAAATCATTCTTTTCACCCCTCCTTCAGCCTATCAAAACTGACACTTTAAAAGCCACAAGAGCCCACACTTGTCAACAGAAAACCCATTCACATCTCCATCAGCCACACAATCTCCACATAAAGATTCTTCAAAAAATAATAACAGTAGCCACGAAAAGGTATCTAAAATGTTACATAAATAAATGAACTTAGATTACATATGAAAATGATACTATTTTTGATATGCGAGGTAAATAAAATATATTATTTGAAGTCATTTACCTTCTTCTCTTTGTATGTCTAACGTGGCGGACTAGACCTTGGAATTCCCCTGAGGCTCACATCGTATTATGATTGAACAGTACTGGTCTGCACCCCTTGAGGTAACAGGGGCTGAGGAGTGACCTGGTGCAGGAAGCCCCATCTCCATCTATAGGACATCAGTGTGAACACAGGGAGAGGCACGGGTGCAAGAGAAATGAGAACAGGAGTGTGGACCACCTGCTTGTGCACGGGACTGAGCCTTCACTTTGAGCCAAATAAACTTTTTTTTACTATCTTCAATTCCGAACAAGAGGACTTTCCTAGACTTCTTTAGGTTTTGAGATTTGTGCCCCTTCAGGTTTGGTGCTGTCTGGACTCCCAGCCAGGGGACACTGAGGAAATCCAGGAGTCTCACACTGACTCTGTTGCATTTCGTCTGCTGGGAGCACCCCAAGCCATTGTGTACGATTTCCTTTCCTGGTGCTCAAATAGCTGCTCCATGCACTTGTCGTGGTTTTAGAGATGAATCTAGGTGGGAAGACAGGATAGTGTATGTTATGATATTTAAATGGAAACTGAATCCATTAATTGTTTTTGGTTTTGTTGTTGTTGTTGTTTGTTTTGTTTTGTTTTTGAGAGAGAGAGTCTCGCTCTGTTGCCCAGGCTGGAGTGCAGTGGTGCAATCTCGGCTCACTGCAACCTCTACCTCCCAGGTTCAAGCGATTCTCCTGCCTCAGCCTCCTGAGCAGCTGGGATTACAAGACCCCACCACTATGCCCAGCTAATTTTTGTATTTTAGTAAAAATGTGGTTTCACCATATTGGTCAGGCTGATCTCGAGCTCTTGACCTCAGGTGACCCACCTGTCTTAGCCTCCTAAAGTGCTAGGATTATAAAGGTGAACCACTATGCCTGGCCGAATAGTTTTTTAAATATGAAATGTTAAGAGAGATTTGTCATAGGCAATGAGAAAGGTGAAAATAGATTAAAAGCGTTTTAAGGAAAAAAACCAAAAATGTACTTGTAGACTGTGTGCCTTCAGTGTTGCAGGGTGGAGAGAGGTCAGTTTTATGGTTCCCAAAGGATGTACTAAGATGGAGGAAACCAAGAAAGTAAAAAACACACATATCTGCGACTCAAAACAAAAATCAAAGCAAAATGGAAAAAATCTTTCAATAAAACATTCCCAATAAATATCACTCTGGTGCAATCAGAAATGCCTGCTACCAAACTTTCCCTTTCCCTTACTGGGTCATATTCCCATGGATCACCTGTGTGCAGTGTGGACTCTGTGGTCCCCATTTCTCAGGCTGAGAACCAGATGGTGGGAAGGACATGTCGTCTGCTGATGAGAGGGAAGGGCAGCACTGGGAGCAGTGGAATCAGGCTCAGGACTGTGGACCTGGTCAGTGCTCCTGTTCCCTCCACAGGGTCCCTCCCACATGTGCCCTGTGGATATGGGTGCACTGCCTGGGGTGGCTGATGTGCTTGAGGGATTCGATGCTGCAGATGCTTCAGCACAAAGCGTGGGGGTGGGGATGGGACGAGGCTGCAGCTGGGGAGACCAGGGACCAACGATACCCAGCAGAGGGGTCCACGGGGTGGGCAGCCCCATTTCCTGACAGTAGAGACAGCCTGGAGGTGGGTGCCAGGCAGAGGGCACTGCAGGGTGTGCCTAGGCCTGGAGGGTCACAGAGACACAGGCACCTCACAGCAGAGACCCTGAGGGCCATGAGCTCACTCAGGTAAGGGATTTCAGCAAATCTTTCTCTCCTGAGGAAATCAAGTACAAAAAAATTAAGTTCCTGCCATCAGAATAGACAAACAAGGACTTTAGTCTCCTCAGCTGAACCCCACTGTCCAGGGAAGCAGAAGCCTCTGAACTCAGACCCAGGTGAGGGTGGGGTGAGGAGAGGAGCTCAGGGTGCAGATTTGCATGGAGGCCCCGCCCTCCTCTGAGGCAGAGGGGATAAGACAGGGCTGGGGGCAGGTCCAGTGCTGGGGTCTCAGGAGACAGTGCTGTTGGGAAGTCTCCACCATGGCCTGGGCTCTGCTCCTCCTCACCCTCCTCACTCAGGGCACAGGTGACACCTCCAGGGAAGGGGCTTCAGGGGCCTCTGGGCTGATTCTTGGTCTCCTGCTCCTCAGGCTCACCTGGGCCCAGCACTGACTCACTGGAGTGTGTTTCTCCCTCTTTCCAGGATCCTGGGCTCAGGCTGCCCTGACTCAGCCTCCCTCTGTGTCTGGGTCTCCTGGACAGTCGGTCACCATCTCCTGCACTGGAACCAGCAGTGACGTTGGTGGTTATAACTATGTCTCCTGGTACCAACAGCACCCAGGCACAGCCCCCAAACTCATGATTTATGAGGTCAGTAAGCGGCCCTCAGGGGTCTCTGATCGCTTCTCTGGCTCCAAGTCTGGCAACACGGCCTCCCTGACCATCTCTGGGCTCCAGGCTGAGGACGAGGCTGATTATTACTGCAGCTCATATGCAGGCAGCAACACTTTCCACAGTGGTCCAAGTTCATGGGGAACTGAGACCAAAACCTGCCCTGGGCTCTCAGGCTCCCTTTCTGCTCTGAAGATGCTTCCTCAGGGGCTTCCTGCAGCACGGCCTTCAGAATTCTTCTCTCTCAGCTCCTCTCCTTTCCCACCATGAAGTCCAAAAGGAAACCTGCCCTGTGGTTTCTCATCCAGGACAGGGACAGCTTCCTGATGCTTGTGTGCTGTGGTCCCTGAATGTGCAACTCTTCCTAGCTCTTCAAATGCAGGGACAATGACAAGGAGCTGCCTGATTGATGCAGTCACTGCTTTTTTCAGTGTCTCTCCACCCTAAATGCATCACCATCTCCCACACTGTGGGTAGAATTTTACTCAACTACATTCTAATGGTTATCGCCACAACTTTGATCTTAGAAATAAGAGTGCAGCGAACATCCCTATGCAGCCTCCTTTGAGTTCCTGTGTGAATATGATCATAGGATTCATTTCTAAAAGTGAAATTGCTATTCAGAAAGATGTGTGCTTGTAATTTTCACCCTCTGTTGTCAGATTCCCCTCCAGAGGGGTTCTTCCAATTTTCAACGCCAGCCAGAAGTACTTGTTCAGAGTACATTGTTGAAAGTGTAAATTTTTGCCAACCTACCAGACTAAAAAATGGTACCTTGTTACAGTTTTACTTTTGAGTCTCCTCTTCTGCTTAAGATTGGGCCTTTTCAGAAATAGTTCAGTACATTTTCTTTTTTAGGATTTGCTAAACTTCTTCTTAAATATCCAGGTAAGGAGAATTTGAGTCTTTGAGGCCAGGCATGGTGGCTCACGCCTGTAATCCCAGCACTTTAGAAGAGTAGGACGGGTCAATTGCTTGCTCCCAGGAGTTGAGATTAGCCTGGGCCTCACAGTGAACTCTCATCTCTATTAAACTAAAGAACACAAAAATAAATTTTTAAAAGAATTTGTTTAGTCTTTGTGGCTCAAGAATCAACCTTGGGGATATTCCATATGTACGTATAGCATCATTTACAATGTAAACATTTAAAATGATAAAAAAAAAACACTGTCATCTCTGAGTCATACAAAAATAGGTGTCAGGCCAGGGATAGTCACAGGATGTGGTTGAACAGTCCCTGGTTTGTAGGTTTATCTGAAGGTTGAAAATTCCACCAGCATATGATCTAGGTGGGGATCTCTCTGTGAGGGTCACTGTATTTCACCTGTATTAGGCTGAGTTCTTTCATTGGATAAGAGCATGCTCATATCATCTATTTGATTGGATCATGGATTTAAGACAGCCCTGGGTCACAATCACATAACATTTTTCTGCATTGCTTGCTCTGAGTTTTGGGAGAGCTTTAATTTATCAGGAATAGACTTCTCCTAAGGCAAAATCTGAGGGAGTGGGAGGGGCACGTGGGCCAGAAAGCTTGTACCAAAGCTGGAATATCCAGGGCAGGCTCAGAGAGAAGGATCCTAATATCAGCATTTGACTGAAGCCAAAAACAGAAGAGAACATGGAGGTTCTGAGAATGACAAATAAACAAATAGTTTAAGTTTTAAATGTACTGAATATTTTTATAATCCATGAAAATTCTAGAACAGAATTTAACAGTGGGATAAGGAAGAGTGCTTGAGATGTTAAACTATAAAGACCCCAAGGCACGTTGCCAGGAAAAGAACAGCACATTTTTGGTGTAAATATGTTTATGCTGCAAATTATCCTTGTATATATATGTGTGTGTGTGTGTCTGTGTGTCTGTGTCTGTGTGTATAAGTAAACATCCCTTGGAACATCCTTCTTCCCTACAGTCAAGATCACCTCACTCCACAAGGGAACCTAAACAAAATGTCATATCAAATAGAAAAAATAATGCACTTTGTATAACCATTACAGAGTCTCTATTTGCATATCAAAATATGGATGCTTAATGTTAACATTGGAAATAGTATTTTAATACGCATATGAGATGAATTTTCTTTAGACTATTTTTGTCTGTGATTTATCTTTCTTAATAAGGACATACTCTTCTCTTAGAACAATTTAACTTAATACACTTTTGTTGTACTTTCTGTATCATTTCTGTTTTTTTCTAAACACTGACAAATATATTCCAAGGCTACTGATTAATACATTCAATTAACGAGTATTTAACTTATGTAAATTATTTCAATAGTGGACAGATGTGATTTCCTCACATGTACCTCACAGATGTTGCTGATGCTGACTCGCTCTTCTCTTCTAATCTTAGCAAATAAAGTGGGAAATTTGACTTCCCTGAACACCCAGATGACAACAGGAGAGAGGAGGTGAAACCCCCAAAGCTGTTATTCTTTAAATCCTCAGGATCAATAGACCTGGAGAATCACCCACACTTGAGTGGGATGACATATAAATGAGAGTTTGGTCTTAGAGTTGGTGCTGAGTTAGTTCAGGATTTGGGTTGTTGGGATGGGGTGAATGTGCTTTACAAGTGAAAAAGACATGAGTTTTGGAGTCTGTAGGGTAGAGAGTTCTTGGCTGAACTGTGTCCGCCAGATCTGAGTTGAGTGACATCCCACCATGAGGAGTCCCAGAGAAGTAAATTTGCATAAACACCAAACATGCAGTGCCCCACCGGGTCTGAGAGGAAATAAGAGAGGTCTGGGAGCCCAGCTGTGCTGTGGGCTCAGGAAGCAGAGCTCTGGGCTCTGTGTCTTACCACAGCCTGGACCCTTCTCCGGCTCCCCCTCCTCAGTTTCTGCACTGAGGTGCTGCCCCCAAGCCCTGCCCCAGGCTCAGCCCTCGCAAGGCCCTGAGCTGGTCCTGCCCTGAACCCTGAAAGCTCTGCATTTTCTGAGCTTAGCCCAGGCAGAGCCCCAGGATGATACCACTGGAAATGTGTTTGTTATCTTCAAGCCCCCTCTCCTGTCCTCTCCCGCAAGCTCTGTGGCCTCCTATGAGCTGACACAGCCACCCTTGGTGTCAGAGTCCCCAGGACAGACAGCCAGGATCACCTGCTCTGGAGATGTACTGAGGGAAAATTAAACTGACTGGTACCAGTGGAAACCAGGCCAGGCCCCTGTGCTGCTGATATATGAAGATGGTGAGTGGCCTTCTGGAATGCCTGAGTGATTCTCTGGGTCCACCTGAGGGAACATGACCATCCTGACCATCAGCAGGGCCTGAACAAAGATGAGGCTATTGCTCTTTTTCTGAGGATGAGGACAATCCCACAGTGACACAGGCAGATGGGGAAGTGAGACACAAACCCCTTTTTCATCTGTGCTATCTTCTTCCTCCAGCACCAGGAAGACCGTGGACCAAGCCATGAGCAGGTCTGGCCAAGTTGTACTGGATCTGAGACCTCCAGGCCATCCTTTTGTCCAGCCCTACAGGTTGGCTCTGCAGAGGGTGGATCAGGAGTGGATTTTGGGCTGCTATATTCAGACTTTACTGGTGTTTTCGGGCTTTGGGAGTGACTTGGGAACATAAGAACTGGATGGAAGATGAGAGAGATGTAGAGAAACATCACTTGGCCTTAGATTTCCATATGATGGTGACTGGGTCACGCCTTCAAAATATCCTATATCAGTCCCAACAAATGCCAGCTCAGTTCAATACCTGAGGTTCCAGTCTTCCATGGCAGCCTGGGATTTTGAACAGGAAAAGCTGAGGAGAGGGCACTGTGGTATCTGCCTCAAAACCCTTTTCTGAGCTTACCAACCCTCAACTGTTGGGAGCTTCTAGGATCTCAGGGCTGTGCCCTCACTGGAAAGTGCTATTGTTTCCAGAAAACTTCCTTCCTCATATTTAGGTCCAGTTTTGAGAGTTTTCATTTAATGATGGCCTGGGACCAAGAACCCAAGGCCCTGCCTTAATACAGGATGACACTGAAAGCCCTTCCAGCTCGTGACCTCCCATTGTTGATGTCTGAGGTGTCAGTTGCAGCCCTATGATGGGTCAGGGTATCCTGCAAGTGGTGCCTTCCTCACTCCATCCAGGTCATCTGTGCATGCAAATCTTTATCTCAGAGTCTATTTCCAGGAAACACAAACTAAGATGGCCAGCTCTCACCAAAATGAGCCACCATAGACCTGAGGTGGCCACTATACACTGGAAGGCACCAGCGAATTCCCTCAGTTTCCATTGTGAGCATCCAAATGCACAACTACATCTGAGTGTTCCTTCTGTTCTTATGAAATGAAAAGGGAGCCTGACATACCAGGTACTCTGAGTCCTGAAGGAGAGGTGGAGTCAGATCCTCCTGCAAGAAATCCATGGAAAGGGGAGCTGCCTCACCCCATGCAGGGACCAGAGATACTCCCACAGGGGCAGCTGTAGGATGGACGCTGCCCACCTCCACCCTGCACATCCTGCACAATTACTCTTTTCACCCTTCCTTCAGCTTATTGAAGTTGATATTGACGAAGTCAGCACAGCTCACCCTTGGCAACTGGACTCCTTCAAGCCTCCATCAACCACACAATCTCAACAAAAAGAATCTCCCCAAAATAATAATAGTAACAGTATCTATGAAAATGTCTATGAAATATCTCACAAATAATTTTAGATTGTGTGCATGTGTAAATATTATTTTTCACACATTGGGTTAAATAAAATATATTATTGAAGCTAGTTTACCTTTTCATTTTTTATGTCTAATATGGTAACTAGACAGTAGGATTCACATGAGGCTCACATCATGTTGTGATTGTACAATGCTGGTCTGGTCTTACCCCTTCAGATGACAGGTGCTTTGGAGTAACCTGCTTCAGCCCCATCTCCACCTGTAGGACATATGTGTGAAGCCAGGGAGAGGCACGGGTGGAAGAGAAATGAGGACTGGCTGTTTATGCAGGTGACTGAGTCCTGGAGCCCTGACCCTGTTCTATCCTAGACGTGTCACATCCATCTCACCAGAGACCACTGCTGGCCTGCCTGAGCTCACAACTGGGCGGATCAGGCAGTTCTGGCAACATGGTCGCTTGATGTCCAGTGTTATCCTGTCTCTCCCAGGGCCCAGTAAGACAAAAGGAGCTGTTTTTAGAAAGGGAAGTAATGCTCTACTGCACATGACATGGCCTTCAT